TTCATACTAGAGACAACACTGCAGATATAGATGATCTATTTCAAGCAAACGAAAGAAGAAGGCCATCGTTGCATCCTTTTGTGCCGTCTATGAGTCATGTACGTCTCCTCCAATTCCATTCTATCTTTGTAGTATTTTCGATATTATGAATGAAAGCTGGCCTAGCAGTGTTGGCATCCCTCTCTAGCAATTTCTGCCTGGGGGAAAGAAAGAAAAAAGATAAGCTTTACAAAATTAAAAAATAAAATATTGGACCCGTTTTGTAATTCAGCCCTATATCTTTCCATCCAGGATTGCACTATGAAATATGACCCTCCAGTGAGACCATATTCGGGATGGGGAGGGCGGGGAAGGGGGTCAGTGTTGCCACTTTTCTTTGACAGAAAACATCATAAAACGGAGTCAAAAGATATCTAAAAACATCTAAATTTGCGTGGAAAACATCTAGAAAAAACAGTTGATATGACTTACCCTATAGAATCATGAATTAATCAAGTAACAGAAAGTATTATCTATAGAATCATGTCCTCGTCTTTACTGAAGTCTGCCTCACAAGATCCACAGGATAAACTTAGCTTGGATGATGAAGTTGAAGCTTCAGATCCAAAATGACTCTAGTATGCTTTATCCACGAACCGCGAATACCTGTTTCGCCAGCTGTGACATTTCTGGTGTGATTTGTTTTCTTCAAGCAGAAGGCTACAATTTTCAGCTCTCACACCCAGCGATCAGTGTTGCCACTTTTCTTCGACAAAAAAAACAAAAACATATCCAAAACAGTCAAAAAATATATAAAAACATCTAAATTTACGTGGAAAACATCTAGAAAAAACATTCAAATGGAAAACGTCACACATTACATTGTTACTTGATTAATTCACAAATAAAATAGCAATTGATAAGACTTATCCTATAGGATCATGTCCTCATCTTTACTGGAGTCTGCCTTACAAGATCCACAGGATAAACTTAGCTTGGATGATGAAGCTGAAGCTTCAGATCCAAAATGACTCTGGTATGCTTTAGCTGTTCCAATTTCTTTTAATGCCCAATCAGGGAGCTCATAAGTGGAACATCATTTCCCTACTCTTATCAGGCCGAATTTTATTGTCAAGACAGCATTTGATATGTCAAATTTCATCCAAATGAAAATCATCTAGACAAACATCTACCATCTAAACATCAAAAACGCCATCTAAATGCTAGGGGAAACATCTAAATCTGAATGTAAAACATCCATAATGGCAACACTGCCGGCGATGACGAAATCTGAACAAGAAGAATAGTAGACGTTTTTAAAGTCAAGAAAGTGAAATCGAGTTTTAATTCTTTGGGACCTTATTTTTAAACATGTGACATATTTTAGGATAAGGTTTTGAGATACAAAATACAGGATATGTTTCTCAAAGAGATTTGTTTTGTATAACTGTATAACACACTTACAAACGGCACCATCCGTAATAACACGTACACAAATACCTACAATGCAGTGCAGGTAAACATTTCACTTTACAAACACACTTACCATTGAAAAAAAAAAAAAAAAAACAGAGAAGAAAAAGTCCCAAATTGTATAACTTATGATTATAAAAGTTTTTGCTTTTCTATGATTATAATTTTGATGTATGTAAATTTTGATGTATGTATGTGTGATTATTTAATACCTAAACATGTGTGGATTTGCAAAAAACATACGCAATGCTTACTTACAAAAGGCAACCTGTGTAAACAGACGTACAAATACCTACAACGCATTACATGCAAACTGTATACTGCTCCCACATGTATATTTGAGAGGGAAAAAAAATTAATTAAAAAAAAAAAAGACAGAATGCGGTTTGTTTGAAAAAAAAAAAAAAGAAGACAAGACAAGAAAATATAAATTACAGTTAAACAGAAAAAAAAAATTATCAAAAAAAAAAAAAAAAAAAATGCAGTCCAGCGCAGGCGGGACCACAGCACCAAGAGGATTTGTGTGTGTTGCAACAAGACTAATCTGCCCCTACCCTTTTTTTTCCACATACAAATAGAGACATAAATCAATAATATCAACATTTACGTCTAATAATTACATTGAAACAAACTCGTACTTCCACATATGTTAACTCTTTTAGTCCCATATGATTTCAAAGTACAAACCCAATTTAGCAGGATAATCATAATAAAAAATAAATCATCAGTGCATGAGTTTCAAAGATACAGCATATATTCTAAATTTTAAATATTTGGCCAAATTTCATTTGCAAGCCCAGACCAAACACGAATTAAATAAAAACACACCATGTGTTGCGTTGATATATACAAAAATGAGCAGAGCACACATAGTGCGTTACTTGGGACATAAAGAGTTAAGAAAAAGACAGGTACTGATATGAAAGAGTTATAAAGGTAACATTAGTAAAAAATAATAATAATAATGTAAGTTATAACTACAGATGAAGGTTTAGGCTACAATTACAGGTGAAGGTTTATACTATAACTACAGATGGAGGTGGAGACCATAACTACAGATGGAGGTGGAGACCATAACTACAGATGGAGGTGCAGTCTATAACTACAGATGAAGGTGGAGGCTATAACTACAGATGTAGGTGGAGTCTATAACTACAGATGGAGGTGGAGGCTATAACTACAGATGGAGGTGGAGGCTATAACTACAGATGGAGGTGGAGGCTATAACTACAGATGGAGGTGGAGACAATAACTACAGATGGAGGTGGAGGCTATAACTACAGATGGAGGTGGAGACAATAACTACAGATGGAGCTGGAGTCTATAACTACAGATGGAGGTGGAGACTATAACTACAGATGGAGGTGGAGACCATAACTACAGATGGAGGTGGAGACCATAACTACAGATGGAGGTGGAGACCATAACTACAGATGAAGGTTTAGGCTACAATTACAGGTGAAGGTTTAGGCTATAACTACAGATGGAGGTGGAGACCATAACTACAGATGGAGGTGGAGACCATAACTACAGATGGAGGTGGAGACCATAACTACAGACGGAGGTGGAGACCATAACTACAGCTGAAGATGTGGAGGCTATAACTACAGATGGAGGTGTGGAGGCTAAAACTACAGATGAAGGTGGAGGCTATGACAACTGATGAAGGTGAATGCTATAGCTGCAGGTGAAGGTGAAGGCTATAGCTACAGATGAAGGTGAAGGCTATAACTACAGATGAAGATGTGGACGCTATAACTACAGATGGAGATGGAGGCAATAACTACAGCTGAAGGTGTGGAGGCTATAACTTCAGATGGAGATGGAGACTATAACTACAGATGGAGATGGAGGCTATAACTACAGCTAAAGGCGTGGAGGCTATAACTACAGATGGAGGCGTGGAGGCTATAACTACAGATGGAGGTAGGGCTATAACTACAGATGTAGGCGTGGAGGCTATAACTACAGATAGAGTCGTGGAGGCTATAACTGCAGATGGAGGTGGAGACTATAACTACAGATAGAGGCGTGGAAGCTATAACTACAGATGGAGGCGTGGAGGCTATAACTACAGATGGAGGTAGGGCTATAACTACAGATGGAGGTGGAGGCTATAACTACAGATGGAGGTTTACGCTATAACTTCAGATGGAGGCGTGGAGGTTATAACTACAGATGGAGGAGGAGGCTATAACTACAGATAGAGGTTTAAGCTATAACTACAGATGGAGGTGTGGAGGCTATAACTACAGATGGAGGCGTGGAGGCTTTAACTACAGATAAAGGTGTGGAGGCTATAACTACAGATGGGGGTGTGGAGGCTATAACTACAGATGGAGGTGTGGAGACTATAACTACAGATGGAGGTGTGGAGGCTATAACTACAGATGGAGGTGTGGAGGCTATAACTACAGATAGAGGCGTGGAGGCTATAACTACAGATGGGGGTGTGGAGGCTATAACTACAGATGGAGGTGTGGAGACTATAACTACAGATGGAGGTGTGGAGGCTATAACTACAGATGGAGGTGTGGAGGCTATAACTACAGATAGAGGCGTGGAGGCTATAACTACAGATGGAGGTGTGGAGGCTATAACTGCAGATGGAGGTGGAGACTATAACTACAGATAGAGGCGTGGAAGCTATAACTACAGATGGAGGCGTGGAGGCTATAACTACAGATGGAGGTAGGGCTATAACTACAGATGGAGGTGGAGGCTATAACTACAGATGGAGGTTTACGCTATAACTTCAGATGGAGGCGTGGAGGTTATAACTACAGATGGAGGAGGAGGCTATAACTACAGATAGAGGTTTAAGCTATAACTACAGATGGAGGTGTGGAGGCTATAACTACAGATGGAGGCGTGGAGGCTTTAACTACAGATAAAGGTGTGGAGGCTATAACTACAGATGGAGGTGTGGAGGCTTTAACTACAGATGGAGGAGGAGGCTATAACTACAGATAGAGGTTTAAGCTATAACTACAGATGGAGGTGTGGAGGCTATAACTACAGATGGAGGCGTGGAGGTTATAACTACAGATGGAGGAGGAGGCTATAACTACAGATAGAGGTTTAAGCTATAACTACAGATGGAGGTGTGGAGGCTATAACTACAGATGGAGGCGTGGAGGCTTTAACTACAGATAAAGGTGTGGAGGCTATAACTACAGATATATGTGGAGGCTATAACTACAAATGAAGGTGGAGGCTATAACTACAGATGAAGGTGGAGACTATAAGTAGAGATTGAGATGGAGGCTATAATTACAGATGAAGGTGAAGGATATCTACATATGAAGATTTGAGGCTAAAACTACAGATGGAGGTATAGGCTATAACTACAGATTGAGGCTATGACTACAGATGGAGGCTATAACTGCAGATGGAGGTGGAGGTTATGACTACAGATGGAGTTACAGGCTAAAATTTCATCTTTGAAGTGGATAGCTGTAAAGGCGGAAACTGCCCTTGAACCTAAACAGTGATTTCAGTCAGAATTCAGAAGACACATGTTCCTTGTTATTTAATGTTTCTTGCACTTACTGTGTTTCACAGATGAAAACGTTGTTCTCCCCGCAGTCGATGTCGTTCCACTTGTACCCTCTATTGTAACGCAGCTCCAAACAGTGTTCGTCTGTAGAAAAAAAAAAAAACACACACACACTCACAGGACGAAATGCAAATCGATTTGATTACAGAATAAATGATCTTACGGGAGGCAATAATTCGCATTACCTTCTTTTTTGACTGCTCTTTATTTCCCTTTCTAGCGTAAATTCTTAACCTACTTAAGCCATGTGGTCCTATAGTTTGAAAAGTAAAATAAATAAACAGACAACGTATTGATCGGCAGTCATAGAAAGATAGAAGGACACACAAGAAAACATCAAAATCGAAAGCTTTAATTACGGTGCCGGGAATCGAACCTATCACCTCTAAATGGCGTGTGCGTCTCCTATTGGAAACTAATGCTCTAAAAACATGACCAGCTAGGCACCCGTGCTAAAACGTGTCATTACTGACCACGTTTGTCGTACAGCTTGAAATCCACAACTTTGGAATACGGACATTATTCATCTCAAACCATTGAAATGGCACCATATGTTACAGAAACTTATATTAACCAAGCATAGGTCGAATAACAAACACAGCTAATACTTGCAAACACAGCAGACTGTAATGCTGTGTCTGGAAACATTTAAGAAAGAGATTTGATTATTAGACTCCAATTTGTTACACGTCATTCATCCTATTCTCTTTCCGTCTTAATGCCAAATGAGAGCTGTTTTGGCAGGTATATCAGGATTCATTCTCATGACTTAGATAAGCCATTTCCATCTTCTCTTGGTTATCACACTGTCCAGATTTTCTTGGTTTGTGAGAGAGAAGTCATAGTCAGCTCAAAATAACAAACAGCCCCTTATAGGCATTTTGAAAACGGAAGTCTTTCGCCAAAATTGACTCGGATTGTTTCATGTTGCCTACGTTCCTGTATCGCTAGTTGCCTGTGACTGTGAGCAGTCCTAAACCATCCTCTATTCTTGAAATTAAAAACAAATTGCTGACAAAAAAGGTAAACATTTTTTTTTTTTTATATAACATCTAAAGCATTAAATCCATTTCTGATCTTCAGCACCACTTCACGTGAAAATTGGCATTTGTAAAAAGTTATTCCAAGATATTTAAGTCCATTCTTTCTTTTGATATTGCTGCTGATTATTGTCATGTTCAGGACTTCCTCTCAACAAAAATTGCATGTGAAGTTCGAATCCTTCATATAAACGGGCTCACTTGTGCGCTTTGGCGCATATATGTGTAAAAGAATGTGTGTGTTTACATTCGCATGCATATGTATGAGATTAAGTGTGTATGTGTGCCGTAGCACCTCAATGAAATCGTAGCGCCCTCAGTGGGAAACACTGATGTATTCAATAGGTAACCGCAGTTCCTGCTTTAGTCTCAATTTATTGTAAACACCCTGGTATAGTTTTATTTCAATACTTGGACCATCCGTTGTGGAAAGTGCTGACAACAGTTAAACAGGAAGTATGCAATGAAAATAATTATTCATTAGAAAAAAAAAAAAAAATTCTCCAGCACATGAATGAACCCAGGACTTTCCGAGTAAAAAGCGGATGGATTACAACAAACTACTTAATCATCTGACCGTAATATGTAAAAGTAACACCGTTTTACTTTAATATGACTGAAGAAGCATGAATTATATGTTATATAGTAAAGAAAATAATTAATTTTAATCATTGTGTGAGTTTGTGGTCAAATACAAAATGCTGAGAGCGAAAAATATTCATTTTCAAACAAATCATCCATACAAGTACAATTGTGTAAGTTCTCAGGGAACTAAATGCATTGAGTGTTGACTTTTAGTGAGTGTGGCGTTAATTATCAGAAGTATGTAGAAACATTGCCGCACACAGCACAGTTGACCTACACATTGCTTCCCAAAAAATATTTGAAAATTTCAGTCTCTACTGGTCACCGTTCCGGGAATGGGGTTGGGTGGGGGGTTGTGTGTGTGTGTGTGGGGGGGGGGGGGGGGGGGAGGATGAGAAATTCACCGCACAGACATATTGATTTTCAGTTTTATAAAATAAATTCACTCATTTTCTAATCCCGATCACCTTCATTCAATGTATTTCCCAATAATATGATTTGTAATTCTGAATTTCTTACCATAGTAAGAGTTGCTCGGATTGGGATCATACCAATTTGTAAACGGACTAATCCGGGCCATATTGTTAATCCATCGCCAGTCGCCTTCTACCATTAGGTCATTACCTCCTGTCCAGATTGAGCCAGCTAAACAAAAACAAAAACAAAAAACATTTAAAAAACTGAAGTCTGTAGTGTTCTGTAGTCGGTAGTGTTCTGTAGTCGGTAATCGTGTTTTCAACTCCACCTCACACGGGTCACCCTCATAATTATGCCGTTCCTTTTGCTGTATAAATCAAATGCCCTGTTCTGTCCAATTTCAAAACTAGTGAGCCTTTAGTGCTGACACATTTCAAAAATGCACACGTAGTTAATACAGAAGGTCTCGAGCAGTGGCTCTCAAATTTTCTAATGCGGATACCCTTTAATACAGTTCCTCGTGTTGTGGCTATCCCAAAACATACAATATTATTCGTTAATAATTCGTAACTTCAATAAATATGTGTTTTCTGACGGCTTCAGGCGACTCCTGTGAGAGGTTCATTCGACCCAAAAAAAAGGGTCGTGACCCACAAGGATGAGAACCGCTGGTTTAGAGGTGCCAGCATCAACAGTCACCACCGGACTTACAGACTGATGTAAATGCAGTCAATCACGATAAATTGGCAGTAAAAGCGCAATAATCTTGCCTAAGGCACTTCACCAACCCAACCTGACTCCAGGCAGTTCAAGTTAGCGGTGTCTTTAAACAATCAAAAGTGAAGTACAGCAAAACAAACAAAAGTCAAGTACAACGAAAGACGTTTTGTACACGAGTGGCGCATATGGCATCAAAAAAGTTAAAGTAAATATCCCTTTTCACGCATTTAGGTGTATTGGGCATATAAGAAGAGCGCCCATATTTTTACAGACCCTTAGCAATCGGTGGGTAATGTGGTCAGCATTACGCCGGCTGTCTTTACTTTCCCAGGAGAGCCCATCCTGGTACCTATTTTAGGCTGGGTCGACCTGCGACGTCCCATACCACGATAAAAATCCACGCAGCCAGCAGTGGGCTTCGATCTCGGTACGCTGGATTACGAGTCGGACTCGCAACGCCTTAGCCACGGACGCATCGCATCCAATGATATACTTATTCTTGAGAGACATATCGGCACTCCGTAGATGATGGGGTCAACATTATGACCCCCTCATTTACCTCACATGACATTCAATGGTACACATTTTAGACTGAGTTGACTTGGGGAGCCAAGGTAAATTATAAGAGATAGAGAGAGAGACTGCATCTGGTAGAGCGACAAGGGACAAACAACTATTAACAAAAAAGCCATTAAACCGGATATACACACAAAACTGAATGAGCCACGGAATGAGCCACCGAACGAGCCACTGAATGAGCCACGGAATGAGCTGAAAACGGCACAGGAATGTATACGAGAAAAAATATTTTTGATACAGACATTTTGTTTCAGGCGAACCAGAGAAAAAGAAGAATTTGGACAGGTTAAACTTACCCATATGTGGAAAATAGACATTCACGGTCGTCTTAAAGAGAAAGAGAGAAAGAGAGAGAGAGAGAGAGGGAGAGAGAGAGAGAGAGAGAGAGAGAGAGAAAGAGAGAGAGAGAGAGAGAGAGAGAGAAGATAATTTCATATCAACATTTTGAGGTTAGCAAGACTACGGCGGGGATCCGTCGCGGTGTGGCGGCTAGAGGCTCAGGTAAATATCCGAACGTTCTAGGTTCGCGTCCTGACCTTGTGATATTTTTTTTTTCAAAATGATTTTAGCTCCCAGGTCGACCTAGTTTCAAATGGGTACAAGAGAAAGTCCTGTCAAGTAAAGGCATCTGGAGTCATGTTGACCATATTACCCACCGATTGCTGACTTGTCTATGAAGTATATGTAAATATACCTGCATGTAAAAGGTTTTTTTTTTATCTATTGTTTTATTTTACTTAAGACTGCAGTTAGCAATATCCACAGACTGCCATCTCCAGCAGTCTTGTACTGACACCGCTCAATACAATGAGAAAAAGTTGCCTAGAGCCTTTTCGCACTGTCCTCATCAACCACTCTTTCCATATAGCTTTCTAGTGGTTGAAGGATGTTTTAGTTTCACTCTTATATTAAGCTGTCTCCTTGTGGGATGTAATTTTTCGTTATTTTGAAGCCCCACGAAGTACTAAAGTGAATCTTACGAAAACTATTTTTTTGCTATCACCATGCTATCAATGCCAAACGTGGACACTTACATCCTCCAATGAACGTACATTTGTGACAACAGAGATGAAATGCATTAAAAGAGCTGCAGGAGTTTCAAGGAAAGACAGAATACGAAATCATGAAATCAGACGAATACTAAGAATAAAGGCAGTCTTACAGGTCATCAAATAACAACAAATAAAGTGGTTTGGACACCTAACAAGAATGCCCTGGTACTATCCGCCACTGCGAGCCACACTGAAACGTTACAACGGGTATAGAGTGAGTGGAAGACCTCAGAAAATATGGAGTGATGGCATTAAGATCAGCCTTACAGAAATGAACATCAGTCTTAATAGTGCTCTTGACAGAGCTCATCAACGAACATTACATCTCTCCCCGACACTTCGATGAGGTACAAGGTGGAAGGGAAGAAGAATAGGAAGCCCACCTCGGGTTTTGACGTGGCCCTAAATATAGCCTGGTCATAACTATGGCTTATGGCTGAACGGGGTCTCCCAGACCACGGCCAGCTCCAGATTTATACACGCCCGCCCGCACGCACGCACGCACTTGTCTCCTTATCTTTAGGACTAGCTGTCTTTGAGCTTTTGCCGCATTTAAAAATGTGTGTTATTTAAGGCAAATCAAGATGTCAATAAACCTATAGAGCGAAAGCAATTCTTCTTGAAGGATTAGGAAGCGGTCAGCAAAGCTGGTACTTAATTTATAACTTACCCCTGACGTCACGACAACGTCACGGGAGACATTCCCAATAAATTCTAGGATGTTCAGGTTGTAGCTTCTCGCGATTTCTCTACAGCCAAGTTTAGGGTTAGGGTTAGGGATAGGGTTAGGGTTAGGATTAGGGTAAGCCAAACGGAATCTGGGTCGCAGACTTACCTCCTATCCACTAGCTTCAGAATTGAATTGACTGTTAGAACAATGTGTGTTGTGAGTAGTATTTGGATTGATAAAGGGTTACGTCTCTAGGCAGTATCATCATCATCACGTAGCAGGTCCTTTGCAGAACGTCGCTCTCATCACAGTCTGCCTGAAAGAAACTCGGTCTCTCGCCAGTTCTCCCCAGTTTCAGCACTTTCACACTCAAAGAGTCACTTTTATCCTGTGCCCATCTTTGTATCGGTCGGCCTCTGCCCCTTCTTTCTGGTACCATGCCTTCTGCTATAATTTTTTCCAATCTGTCGTGGCGCTTGGCATGACCACAATATTTCAGCTTTCGAGAAAGGATGCTGTTTATTATCCAATCTTCCTTGATGTTCAGATCTTTTAAGATGTCAGTAGGCAGTATAGTCTTTCTATATATTAACACACATACACACACACATACGCACACACATACAAATTTATGTCCCTCGGAGTTCAGATTAAAACTTAAGGGGGTAATGTATAAAAAGACCACACACTGAATTGCCAGTATCACAGGGTTGAGGACCTGTAAAGCCAGCTCTATGATGGGAGGAAAACGTGGGTAGTTCTAAATAAATGTGAGCCACGGTTTTCATGCTATGAGTCATTTTCTCATCATTGATGAACGTTATCAACATTTGTAAATAAGGTTTAATACTAGAAACAATTTAATACTTGAATTCGGTTAAATGGTATCGAGTAGGAAGGATAATGTGTGCATGGAATAATGAATATTCCGATATAAGCGTGCAAGTTGGCTGAAAGTGTGCCAGATGAGAAAAAGCATGCAATCGTGTGCAGTACGTTTGAGAACCAGAAGGAGAAAAGGGTTATTTAAACTTGGAACGAATGAAAAGATTCAGTCTTGTTATCGATGTTGAGAAATATTGGCCCTGGAAAAATGAGAAATATGTGAATCTACAGAGAACTTGAATATTAGATCGAGCAACCGAACGAGGCAAAAATACCTAACTATCCAGTTCGGTACAAATGGCTGAGCTGCCGTCTGCTGCGAGAAGAGTGTTTCTGCCTAAGTGTACTTTTGGTAGCTCTTAATTGTCTACAATTTGAAGTGCTGCTTTTAGTCATACTGTGAAGATCCCTTTACACACCCTTAGGCACATCGGCCATATGGGAAGAGCACCCATATTTTTACAGACCAATCTGCACTCAGTGGGTAATGTGGTCAGCATTACGCCGGCCGTGTGAAGGTAACATTAAAATGATTAATTTTTTTTTAGGGGGCCGATCTTGTCGCCCCTAGACGTTTATACCTTTGGTGCAATGACGGCAGAAACAGTTGTTGCAATTGTTGAAACCAATCAGCTTTTCGTATCTGATCACTGGTGTGGCGTATTCAAAGTTTCTTGTTTATGTTCAAGATTATGTTGAACTATTTATCAGTGCGCCCGAGGAGGCTGCATGTGACCAGAGCCTGAAGGAGAGTGGTTGTAAGTAAATTTATAAAGGAGCTTACCATAAATCACTTTTATTGCAGCACCAATAGCACAGCTTTCTTCTATGGTTTCTACCTGGAGCAAGTATCCATTTAAATTTCGACAGAGCAGCTGAAATTAGCCAGAAACATAAACAAATGACGCTAGTGTTATTTCAGGCAGCTATTTAAAACAAATACTTTAAAATTCGACAGTCAGGCGGCAGGAAGACAGACAGGTGGACAGAGAGACAACAGAAAGACAAACGGACAGACAGAGACATTACTAGACAGACATAAAAAGAGACGGACAGACACATTATACTAAAAGACAGATAAAGAGACAGACAGACAGACTGCCTGACAGTAACACAGACAGATAGATAGATAGATAGATAGATAGATAGATAGATAGATAGATAGATAGATAGATAGATAGATAGATAGATAGATAGATAGATAGATAGATAGATAGATAGATAGATAGATAGATAGATAGATAGATAGATAGATAGATAGATAGATAGATAGATAGATAGATAGATAGATAGATAGATAGATAGATAGATAGATAGATAGATAGATAGATAGATAGATAGATAGATAGATAGATAGATAGATA